AGGACAAGATTGAGGCGGAACAAATCTGACTGGATGATGTTAAAGGCAGATTGCAAAAGCTGGAAAGTCTTATAAACTGTTTTAGCTCGACAATAAACAACTGTGTCATCAGCATAGAAATGTATGGATGCATCAGGGATGCTCTGACCTACATTACCTATGTAGATTGTAAAGAGGGTGGGTCCTAAGACTTAGCCTTGTGGTACACCACTGTTGGCTGTTAAATAACTGGAGGAAGTACCATTATGTTGAACACATTGCCTCCAGTCTGAGAAATAGTTAGAGAACCAACCAATGGTGTGTTCTGAGAAACCGATTTCTGAGAGCTTATGACACAAGATGCTATGATCCACAGTGTCAAAATCTTTAGACAGGTCTAAGAAAAGTGCAGCACAATAATCCTTAGCATCCAGTGCTTCAACAACATCATTAAGAACCTTCAGTGAAGCAGTCGTGCTGTGTTGTTTCCTGAAACCAGATTGATGGAGATGTAAGATGTTAAATGAGTCCAGGTAATTTTTGATTTGAGAGTTTATCAGTTTTTCTAGAACCTTGGCTAAAATGCAGAGTTTAGAGATTGGTCGATAGTTGTTCAGTGAGGTGGGGGCACCTCCCTTCAGCAAAGGAAGAACAAAGGCTGTTTTCGAAGTGTCTGGGATAGAGTTTTGTCTTATGGAGAGATTGAAGATATGGGTCACAGGGACTGTGATGATATGAGCAGCCAGCCTTAGGAAATAAGGTACAAGTTCATTTGGACCTGCAGATTTTTTAGGATCAAGATCTTTTAACAGTTTATTGACATCACTGACTGAGAATGGAGAAAAAGAGAAGCTGTGCTTAACTGAGGATTGACTTGTAGGAGGGATTTGATTTGTAGAAGTTTGGTTATTAAGTGAAGTGGCTGATTTTCCATTAGTAACTGTGTCAAATAAAGAACTAGAAGCAACAAAATGTTTGTTGAAACAGTTCAGGATCTCGTGCTTATTTGACACAGGAACAGAGTTAATGAGAAGTTGTGATGGGAGGTCAGATGATTGGGGTGTGCCTGAGAGATTTGATGGTTTTCCAGATTCTGTTAGGGTCATTTAGATTTTTGGAGGTCTGAGATAAGAAAGAGTTGCGTTTTGCTGCTTTGACAGCAGTTGTGCATTTATTCCTCATCTGCCGAAAACTCAACCAATCAGTGTCAGCCAGATTTTCTTGCTGCGGCCCAAAGATGATCTCTCCTGTGCAGGAGGTCAGCTAGCTCTGGACTATATCAGGGGCTGTCTCGTCCCTTTATTCTGAACTCATGAAAAGGCGCATGTTTGTTTACAAATTAAATGAAACTATTATGAAAATATATCCTGATATATGCTCAATAATCCAGGTAGAAAAATCTAAAAAAGTTCAAACTGGTCCTCTGGACATTCAAAAAAATAAAACAAAGCAAAAAAAATAAAATAAAAAAAAATGTAGAAACGTTTCGTCTTTCATTGGAAATTTTGAAATATTATGAAAATAGTTCCAAGAGGTGTTCACATCCTCAGTTAATAGAATACAATGCCAGTCAAAGTGAGATAGATCCCAGAGGAATGACTGTTTGCAAAAACGTTTCAGATCCCTTTTTTAAATTAATCTGTGCTTAGAAGGTGGAATTTTAATATCTCGGTGAGAGCCGCTATTACACAATGATCACTTAAAATGTCAGCACATACACCTGTACCAGGGAATTTGTGAGGCATATTTGTTAGAAACAGGTGTAAGATGGAAGATTTTTCAGGACGATTTTTGTTTGGTATAGTGGGAAAGTCGATCAATTCGGTTAGATTGAGTGACAAGCAACATTCCTTGAATTTATCACGGTTGGGGGGGGGGGGGGGGTTGTCAACTTATCCTTGTCAATGTTGAAATCTCCTGCCAAAAAAATCTCTTTGAATTTTAAATTTCCAAAGAATTCAATCAGGGAGGACAACGCCTCAGGTGTTGCTAAGGGGGGGGGACGATAACAACCCACTACAGATAAGATCTGGCCTCCATTCAAAGTGATGTTTACAGCTAAGGCCTCAGACTGGTTTGGGATTGTTTTAGCAGACACAAGACTAGAAACTAGAGAATCTCTGATGTAAATAGCGACTCCACCCCCCCCCTTTTTTTTTTTTGACGAGTACATATTTGTTGAGCCAGGTTTCAGAGATGAAGATTACATCTGCCCCAGAAGAACTGACCAGAATTTTAAAAGCATCAAGTTTTCTCAGAAGGCTACGTGCGTTTACATGCAGAAAATGAAATACTGACACGTATTTGAAGTCATCTGATGTGCTGTAATTAGTGGGGAGTCCAGGGTTGGGCTCAAGCCCTGACAACAATAACAGCATTATTATCAGACATCCTGATGCATGCTCAATAATCCATTTAGAAAAATCTAAAAAAGTTAAATCTGGTCCTCTGGACATTCAAAAAAACAAAACAAAGCAAAACAACAAAAAAAAATGTAGAAACGCTTTGTCTCTCATCCGAGAGACTTCCTCAGTCTGAGGCGCTGTATTCAGCTCAGTCTCTTAAATAGCACCTTTCTCAGAGTGGATCAACCAGTTTTGCTGCTGACAACCAAAACCAGCTGATCACATGCTCAAGAAGGACCTTATTTTTACTGACCACATCAACTCTGTGGATAAATACATCAAGTTCACATGAGAAGATGAAAAAAATGGCAAGTTGGCTTTCTTGGACTGTGAGGTCTCAGTCTCTGATAGAGAACATTTGCAAACTGAGGTGTACCACAAACCCACCCACACAGACCAGTATTTGCAGTTTGACTCCCATCACCCTTTGGAGCACAAGTTAGGAGTCATCAGGACTCTGTATCACAGAGCAGACAGCGTCCCCACTAGCTCAGGAGCCAGGCAGAAGGAGAAATCCCACACAAGACAGGCTCTAGAGCAATGTGGATATCCTAACTGGGCCTTCCTGAAAGCAGAGAAAAAACCCAAACAGGACTCCAGTCAGCCATGAGGTGAAAAGGAGGAACCCAGACCAGTGGTCATTCCATATGTTGAGGGAGTATCAGAGAAACTGAGACGTTTATTTTCTAAACATAACGTCCCAGTGGCTTTTAAACCCCAAAATACATTACGGCAAAGACTGGTTCATCCCAAAGATCCAGTCCCCCGGCACAAACAGAGTAATGTTGTGTATGCTGTTCAGTGTCAGGAGGGCTGTGATCAGTCTTACATCGGGGAAACTAAACAGCCACTGGCCAAAAGGATGGCCCAGCACAGAAGATCAACATCATCAGGCCAGGACTCTGCGGTCTACACTCATCTCCAGGCCAGCGGTCACTCTTTCAGGGATGAAGATGTTCACATCCTGGATAGAGAGGAACGATGGTTTGAGAGAGGAGTAAAGGAGGCCATCTTTGTGAAAAGAAATCGTCCATTGTTAAACAGGGGTGGAGGCCTACGTGTTCAATTGTCCCCCTCTTCCAATGCTGTGATTGCTAGTATCACTCAACCCCCTGTGAATAGTGAACAGCCATCAGTGTGCTAATGATCTATTGTTAGGCTGATGGTCCTTCTTGAGCATGTGATCAGCTGGTTTGGAAAAAAATGTTGCCCACCTCTGGACTAGAATGTTGCATTTGAAGTATTCACACATACACACACACACACACACACACACAATGCAAATGCATACCTAATCTGAATACCGTATTTTCCACTGTACATGTCACACAGCCTTATAAGTCGCATCCGTCCAAATAAGTCTAATAAAGTGGGAAAATCCATAAATATGTTGCTTCTCCATATAAGTTGCATCTATTATGCGTCACCGCTGCCAACCTGGAAATGTGGGCTGGTGTTGTGCCAATAATCAATTGGCTACCAAATGGTGGCTGCAGGGAGGATTTAAGCAAGAATTTACCAAGATTAACACTTAAAAACAATTATTTGTTTGCTCCAAATTATAGTAAAGGTGTGTCTCAGTTTAACTTTTCCTTAATAAATGAACTTTGATGTTCAAATCACCTGTATTTAAAAAGCCGATACACAGAATTAAGCACATGCACTTCAGGACTCGCTGTGTATTTCTTTGAAATTTAACAAGTTAACCTAAAAACAATTAATTTTTGCTCGAAATTATAATAAAGTTGTGTCTCAGTGTAACTTTTCTTTAATAAATGCACTTTGATGGTCAAATCAGCTTTATTTCAAAAGCCGATTCGCGACTGCGGGAAAGCGCAGAGGGACTACTTGCTGTGCATTTCTTCGAAATTTTACAAGCTAAGCACCTAAAACAATTATTTGTTGTCTCAACATTATAACAAAGGTGTGTCTCAGTGTAACATTTACTTAATAAATGCACTTCAGTGGTCAAATTAGCTGCATTTTGCCGGGGCGGTACAGCGCAATGAAGCTGATTTGATGGTTGCTCCAGGTGAGCTGGACGGACTTGACTTGATATGGCAAGCCGATGGTGTCATTAATAGCCACTTATTGCATGACACAGCGGCATGCCATACTACTCGACTGTTATCTAGCGTCTGAAAATCGTAGTGTTCAATATTTTCAGTCAGAATTAATGAAAATGGTCATATCTTAGCCAAAAATTGGTTTATAAATATGGGAAAAAATCCATAAAATCTTTGCTTTGGTGTATAAGTTGCAGGGCATGAATATTATGCACACAAAAAAAAACATGACTTGTACAGTGAAAAATATGGTAACTGTTTCCATCCTTGGTTCTTCTTTTCTGCCTCCACATTCAACATTCTCTCTGATTGCTTCCACTGCTGCATCAATCCATCCCTTTACTGCAAAATATGTTTGGGTTTTTTCAAAGTTCCTCATACTCTGCACCACCATCATCATTTCTGCCAACATGCATTCTCCCAACTTCTCCTCTTATTCATCTTATCAAAAACTATCTTCCTTCTACGTTTGTCCAATTCACTTTATTTTCACCATACATACAAAAACATATCCTTCAACCTGACTACTCCCCCTTCCTTGTGACACAAAACTGATTGAGGATGACTGGTTCTTTCCTGGCTGCTCTGATCCAGCACTGGCCACTCGACAGCAGGAGTTGGAGGAGGAGCTGGCCCAAGATCGGGGGCTTGGTCAACACAGGGCCAAGAAGTTGTCAATACCGGCCCAGCGAAGCTTGCAGGTAGGTGGACAGGCTGATATGATGGGGGCTACTGTGTTTTGGTGGTGGATATTACAGCATTTCCTTTTTAGATTGATTTTTGCTCTATGATGCTAAACAAAATGTTAATATTATAAATATGAACACATGTACTTATAAAGCGCTTTTCTATCTTATCAAGATACTCAAAACTCTTTACAACACAATTTGTGCCCTCTTTTACCTCCACACATTCATACAGCACATACGGCGGCTGTGGCTGAGTTTGGTGCGGCTTTGGCTGAGTGGTTAGAGCAGTCGTCCTCCAATGCGAGAGTTGGGTGTTCGAATCCACCAGCAGTCAAATGCTGAAGTGTCCCTTGACAAGACACTGAACCCCTCATAGCCTCTGATGTGTGTCCCATCAGTGTATGAATGTGATCTAAAGCACTGATTAGTCTCATTAGAATGATTTGTTCAATTAGCTTTGTAGCGATCTAGTAGAGTGCTGTATGAATGGGTAAATGAGGCACAGATTGTAGTGTAAAGCGCTTTGAGTATCTTGAAATAAGATAGAAAGGTGCTATATAAGTACAGTCCATTTACCATTCACTCTACTACATCTCTATAACGATAATCTGAATCTGTAGAATCTAATTAGTTCACATTCATACACCGATGGGACACACATCAGAGACAATGAGACGTTCAGTGTCTTGCCCATAGACATTTCAACATGTGGTAGAATCAAATCCACAGCTGTCCAGTTGGAGGATGACTGCTCTAACCACTCAGCCACTGCAACCCCACATAGCTACCCTAATATATACGTCATTGTTTCCCCTACCATTATACAAGCAGGGCGTCCCGCCCTGTCAACTGAATCAAGCGCCCTGCCTACTGATAACGTCCCCAATTTTTTGAATTTATCATGTCCTGGATGACTGAGAATCTTCACCAGCATGTTTCCTGTAGTTTTTTGCCAGGTTTGCACACACTGCAGCAGAGAATTTGACCCATTCCTCCACACAGATCTTCTCTAGATCAGCAGGTTTCTGGGCTGTCGCTGAGAAACACAGAGTTTGAGCTCCCTCCAAAGATTTTCTATAGGGTTTACATGTGGAGACTGGCTAGGCCACTCCAGAACCTTGATATGCTTTTTATGGAGCCACTCCTTGGTTCTCCTGGCTGTGTGCTTCAGGTCATTGTCATGTTGGAAGACCCAGCCACAACCTATCTTCAATGCTCTAATTGAGGGAAGGAGGTTGTTCCCAAAAATCTCTCAATACATGGCATCCTCTCCTTAATACAGTGCAGTCATCCTGTCCCATGTGCAGAAAAACACCCCCAAAGCATGATGCTTCCACCCCCATGCTTCACAGTAGGGATGGTGTTTTTGGGATGGTACTCATCATTCTTCGTCCTCCAAACACGGCGAGTGGAATTAAGACCAAAAAGTTATATTTTGGTCTCATCTGACCACAGAACTTTCTCCCATGACTCCTCTAGATCAATGGTCATGGACAAAGTTAAGACGGGCCTGGACATGTGCTGATTTCAGCAGGGGAACCTTCCATGCCATGCATGATTTTAAACAATGACATCTTAGTGTATTACCCACAGTAACCTTGGAAACAGTGGTGCCAGCTCTCTTCAGGTCAGTGACCAGCTCTTCCCGTGTAGTTCTGTGCTGATTCCTCACCTTTCTCAGGATCATTGATACGCCACGAGGTGAGATCTTGCATGGAGCCCAAGTCCGAGGGAGATTGACAGTCATGTTTAGCTTCTTCCATTTTCTAATAATTGCTCCAACAGTTGATGTTTTTTCTCCAAGCTGCTTGGTAATTGCCCCGTAGCCCTTTCCAGCCTTGTGGAGGTCTACAATTTTGTCTCTGGTGTCTTTGGACAGCTCTTTGGTCTTAGCCATGTTAGTAGTTGGAGTCTTACTGTTTGTGTGGGGTGGACAGGTGTCTTTATGCAGCTAACGACCTCAGACAGGTGCTTCTGATTTAGAATAATAATAAGTGGAGGTGGACTTTTTACAGGTGGACTAACAGCTCTTTGAGGGCCGGAATTGTTGCTGATTGGAGGTGTTCAAATACTTATTTGCAGCAGTAACACACAAGTAAATTATTTAAAAAATCATACATTGTGATTTCCGGATTTTTTTTTGATTATCTCTCACAGTGGACATGCACCTAAGACAAAAATTTCAGACCCCTCCATGATTTCTTAGTGGGAGAACTTGCAAAGTTACAGGGTGTTCAAATATTTATTTTACTCACTGTATATATATATATATATATATATATATATATATATATATATATAT